TTCTTCTTAAAAACATACCCATATCAAGGCTAGAGTGCAAGCATCATACCCCATTAATGACCAAAACAGCAGAAAAACCATACCCTTTGGGGCCGCACATACCTATATAGCCCATATAAGAGAGTACCCCCCCCGGATCCTTTCCCAAAGAAGAATAAACAGCACCCGTGAAAGAGACTATGTCCTGACCCGCTCTTCAAACTATGTAGCTTGTCGTGCAGACGACTACTACAGTGAGTGTTATTTCAAATAAGCTATCGTAGTTTCGTTAAGCAGCCATATCTCATTTTGATTTTAGGCCAAAATGGTCAATTCTCACGGAGTGGGGGGAGGGGGAAAGGCGGAAATTAGTGACAGGGCCCGGGCAGGTGAGACTGCTAGATTCAAACCAGGCATAATAAGAAGTCCCATTTTTCTCGGCAGTGAATAAACTAAGAAACTAGCTATGGATGGATGTTGCATATACACGGGCTTTGGACCACCCATGATCCACTTGATAAAGACCTTAATTACCGTACGCTTTTGGCACCAAATTTTTGTGGGTTTAGCGGGTATTTTGTTTTTACAGAAAAAAAATTTTCTATTGTAACAGCGAATCCCGTTTAATAGGATCTCAAGCTTTCGTTCATGTTTTGCAAGCGGCAAATTGAATCCGCGAGTTACTAAGCCGGCTTCCCATGGCATGAAACCAAACCATTGCTGAAGGACGCGAAAAGCCGGGGTAGACTATAGCTACGAGAAGGGCCTCTTTCGCTTAGTCCGTCGTGCGTACATGATGCAAAAGAAAATTGCGAAAAAAGAAATAACCGCGCAAAATCCTGGGGATTTCAGGCGGCCATTTTTTCCTCGCGGTTTTCTTTCGCGTCACAACGGCACGACGGACAATTATACAGCGAAAGAGGGCGTATTCATGAAGGAGGTGGGAAAGGGGGAGAGAGACGTTTTTCTTATTCCCCACCGCCTTCCATTTTACTCCACCTACCACACAGGCTCAGCACAGTGCGACATAAAACAATTTACGGATTGAAAAGTTTTTCTCGGATTTGCCAAGGATTAAAGATGAAGCTTATCGAGGTGATAAGCTTCTGATTAAACTTATCGCTTTAAAAAAAAAAATGGGGGGATTTGGGGACAATAGAAAGAGATTTGCCAAAGCGTCGCTGAAAGTGCATGGAGTTCTGCTGCAAAGACCACCCAAAATAAACAGAGAGCTTTTGAAGACAGAGATTCCGGTAGCCCTGACTTCCAGTTGCCACAGAATTCCCCGTCTTTTCCCCGATAAAAATAAAATTTCCCTGACCACTCACAAGTACAAAATGTAAGAAATAGAAGCGGCTTCTAGCCTCCCTTTTCACCCATTCATTCAAGACTGATTTTTCCTTCTTCATTAAGGAAAGCCACCGTTGAAGTCACAGTGACCCCAAATGTTTCTTCCCGCCATCAATGGTCAGATCAAAGCAGCCGTGTCAAATTATCTCCAAGTTCCCTGACCGAAAGTAAAATTCCCTGACTTTCCCTGACCTTGACGAGTTTTTTCCTACACCATTTCCTGACCAGTGCCCCTCCCTGCATGACACTTAAATGGTCATATGCACGAGATGCGAAGTAGCTAAGCCTGTGGCGGATCTAGGGGAGGGGCCCGGGAGGCCCGCCCCCCTTTACTTTGGGTAAAAAGAAAACAAAAGAAATCACAGAAGCAAGAAAAGCCGGCAGGGCAAGCAAAACAAAACCGCTCCCCACCCCCGCCCCGTAGCTCAAGGTCTGGATCCGCCACTGCAAGCTAACAGTTTCCCTAGAGGAGCTCAATCACAGCATTTCAAGCTGTTTAAGCCACGCACAAAATTACTTTTTAATTGAAGGAAAGCTGAAAATAGGACTTTCCTAAGACAGAAAAACACCAGAGATAATAATAAACCACAAAGGAACAAGAAGATTAACACGGATTACAAACGACGAGCTTAAGTTTAGGCTAAACTTTCCAAGACACGCAAACCGTGACATAGCTCCTTTTTAAATATTATTGCCATTTTTTGGCAAGACTGGACACCCTAAAATACCACGGTACTTAGCAGAACTTTGCTTACACAAGGACTATTTTTAGCGCCATTTTCGTGAAAACATTACAAAACAACAACTAACCAAGGTTGCTAAAACTATTGGGTATTTTATTAACAAGCTATTTAATTACTCCGATTAGGCGAAGCAAAAAAAGGTCAAAATATACACAAAGCTATAAGAACATAAAATACACCGGGTCACTGGTCAAATGACTTTACTCGATGAGTCCTAGACAACCTGAAAATACCTTTGTACAAAAAGGAGGTCCTTTGGTAGAACTGAGGGCGCTAACTACAGCGCTGAGCGGTTTACAGTCAAAACAACATGTAAACGAGGCGGTTGAGTCATGCCGGTGACCCAATGCCTCGTTTGCATGTCTTTCTTGCACAACTGAACGCTTGACTATGACTGCAGGCTCAATTGAAGGGCAACGGTCGTATTGCACTCGCGTTTGTGACAGAAAGTGAGCTTTTCACATCCGGTATCGTCCCGGAACGACAGAAGTCACGATAATAGTAGGGAAGACTTTTTTCCGCCGTCGCCAACGTGGAGAGTGTTGGTTGCCAACCACATGGCTATTCTCTAAAGATTATTGTCATTAACACCTTGCGTTACCTCGGTACCAATAACACCAAAACAACATACACCCTCTCTGA